TTTTTTTTTTTTCTTTCTTCGCCCAACCTCCAACAGATTGAAGAAGAGATGTTGGCTTTGCAAAATGAACGCACAGAACGAATACGAAGCCTACTGGAGCGTCAAGCGAGAGAAATTGAAGCTTTTGACTCTGAAAGCATGAGACTAGGTTTTAGTAACATGGTCCTTTCTAATCTCTCCCCTGAGGCATTCAGCCACAGCTACCCAGGAGCTTCTGGTTGGTCTCACAATCCTACTGGGGGTCCAGGACCTCACTGGGGTCATCCCATGGGTGGCCCACCACAAGCTTGGGGCCATCCAATGCAAGGTGGACCCCAGCCATGGGGTCACCCCTCGGGGCCAATGCAAGGGGTACCTCGAGGTAGCAGTATGGGAGTCCGCAATAGCCCCCAGGCACTAAGGCGGACAGCTTCTGGGGGACGGACAGAGCAGGGCATGAGCAGAAGCACGAGTGTCACATCACAAATATCCAATGGGTCACACATGTCTTATACATAACTTAATAATTGAGAGTGGCAATTCCGCTGGAGCTGTCTGCCAAAAGAAACTGCCTACAGACATCGTCACAGCAGCTTCCTTACTTGGGTACTACAGTGTGGGAGCTAAGTGCATATGGTATATTTTATTCATTTTTGTAAAGCGTTCTGTTTTGTGTTTACTAATTGGGATGTCATAGTATTTGGCTGCCAGGTTTTGTTTTGTTTTTTTAACTTTTGGGGAAATTTTCAAAAATAGAATTGATATTAAAAATATGTGTATGTGTGTATATATATGCATATATATACATACCTATACATTTTGTGCATGTGATAAAAAGAAATTGGCTAGATAGGGGGTATTTTCTGAATATTGCAAAATAAAATGCAGCAAAGTGGCTGAAGTCATCACTTTTGGGTGTCTGTATCCTACGAAGTTTTTGACAAAATCTAATGCCTTTCGTCATATCCAAAATTCTTAATGAGCCACTCACAGCAGGCACCATATACTGAAATAAGTTATTGGAACATACCTCTGTATCCTCTCACTAATGTATTTTTTAATTAAATTAGTCTGACTTCTCAGTGTCATTTGGAGTTTAAAAAAAAAAAGAAGAAATTCATGAACACTAAATGATTGCATTGACTTTTTCCGAGGGTAGAAAACAGCTTAGTTTTTTTTTTTTTCTGAATGAATCATAGGTTTGTTGGTGGTTTTTGTCCATTCAATTGTGCCTTCTTTGTGTCATGGTGAGATGGGGGTGCTTAAGGAGATCACAAGTTGTGTGGGGATTACATAACCTGTGAACCTTCAATGGGGAAGACCAGAAGGGCAAGAAGGCCCCTGATGGGTATGTCCAGCAGCAGAGTGAGGAGATAGAGTCTGTATATCTAATGTTTTGTTGCTTATACTGTGATATTATTCTAGCTAAGCTTTATACTCCCAAGACCCCAAAAAGTACTTTTACTTTGTTTGTACAAAGACATATAGCCAATACAAATCAAATGCCAGAGGTATTTGATTGTTGCCATATTTGCAAAATGCCATCTATTGGACTTCTCATCACACTACATAGAAATAATTTGACTATCCCCTTTTGGCTTAATGGGATTTCCTGTTTACAGTAGAATAGCCAATTATTTAAATATCTAGTTGCCACAGTGAACCAGGAGTCACTGAGCCAATGACTTTACCAGCTGCTGATTAATCCTCATCACCACTGTAGATTTTGCTGCATGTGCAGGTCTTCTATTTTTAATTGCGTTTTTTTTTTGTTTGTTTTGTTTTTTTTTTTTTGCTGCAGTACTTTACAAACTTCTAGTTCATTGAGACTTACCATTTGGCATCATGTTAACATCACACAATAGGAAACACTACTTCTGCAAGTCTCAAGCCTCAGTGCTACAGTACTACTGAAAAGGAGCTAGGAAGTTTGGCCAATCAAAAAATAAATAAATAAAGTAACTTATAGTGGTCAAGGAATCTCTTGACAAAAGCTAACGGGGGCGGGGAGGGCATGTTTTGTTTTGTTCTGATGTTTTGTTTTACAATGAAGGATGAACCCAATGCTAAAAGTCAGATGTTACTTGTTATTCCATTGTTTGTGTGGAAACTGAGTTGGAGGTGGTTAGGGAGCTGTGAATATGACTTGAAGGAAAAAAAAATGTCCTTTTCAGCAATAGATGAGAGTTTCTACAAGTTATTGTCTTGCTCCCTTCCCAGTTAGTTGTCTTGAAGAACTTTTGCTGCTAACTCTGGATCCTGCTTTTCATGTAGTCAGAGGGCTCCTAAGTAGTACTCTCTTAAGTCCTTCTCAACGATACTCTTCGCCTAGACCAGGCATCCTCTAAACTCAGGCCCGCGGCCACATGTGGCCTGCCGGGTGTTTTTGCCACCACTGCCTGTCCTGCTTAACAGCTGACTCGTCCCAGGGCCCACAGTCTGGCACTCCCAACGGTCTAAGGGACAGTGAACTGGCCCCCTGTTTAAAAAGTTTGAGGACCCCTGGCCTAGACCAAACTAATGACCAAATAGTAATCTATCACTGTTGAAGTATTGGTTTTCTTAACCAAATTTCAAGTTTTCCCCAGGTATGTCAGTCTCCATGAATCCTCACCTTTAGGAATTTTCAGCATTCATTTGAAGGTAATTGGAAGAAAAGTTCATGTTTTAATATAAATCTTTTTAAAACCAATAGATTACCCAAACAATTTTAGGCAGTGTTTCAAGTAGCACTCTGATGTATTATCCTCTTGGCCATGTTCCAGATCACTTTTTAGGTAAACATGAAATGTACTTGTCATACCTAATGAAAGGGGCTTTTATTCTTCTTACAATCTTTTTTGCATTCAAATATTATACACAGTATTTCAAACAAATTGAGAAGTGTACCTATTTGGAAGAAAACAAGAGCTTTAGAATTTAACAAAATATCAATAATAGAATTTGATAATTTAAAAAAATTATTCATGGACAGCACCTGTGGCTCAAAAGGGTAGGGCGCCGGCTCCATATGCCGGAGGTGGCGGTTTCAAACCCAGCCCCGGCCAAAAAAAAAAAAATTATTCATAAATCTGGCCCTTCTGTGCTACTGGAGGGGTAGAATAAGGAAGCAGATTAGTTTTGTATACAAAACTCCTTAAAGCCCATAACTATTGGTGATACAGTTTAAAATCTAGTTGTAGACTTAAATTAGCCAAATTGAGTTACTGAGTCCATTCAGATCATACATACCCATGAAAGAATGATTGAATACTGACTCCAAATATTTGTCCAATAAGGTTTTGTATCCAATTTGTTTGGCAACTGGTTTTACATGGAGGTCATGATTACACCTGGATTATTCCATTAAGTTAATCTTAATTAAAATATACATATATAATTTGCAGAAATGATTTCAAATTAGTGTGTGTGTGTGTTTGTGAGATCTAGCTTCTGAGGAAACTCATACATAGTAGATCACAGAGTAAAAGCTTATAGCAGAAAATTCTGAAAGCTTTTGGGATATCCTAAGAAGGAGCAGGCACTTCTGAATCAGTGTGCAAATGTCAACGTTTGATCAAGTTAACACTACCTCCTTCCTAGTATTGGTGTTCATTCATTACATATGTGTTTAAGAAAATTAAAAGTATGGGAAATTTCTCTAGCATATCGGAAATCATAAATGCTATATCTGGTATCCAGAGCCTGGCAGTAAAATATTTCTTGTGTTCACTCACTCTCTTTTTGGTTAGCATTTTTAAAATGCAAAGCCTCATACCTTATTTATATTCCAAATTGGGTTCCCTTCCCTTTGCACATATTTTTTTCTTCCCCCTGTTAAAGTCAGCTCTAACCCCAAATTATAGAATCTGAAAGTATTTTCATTATATAAATGTTAGCTGAAAAATGTGTTTATTATTTTTATTCAGAGCTGCCATTCTTACTAGTCATTTCTATACATGGAGATAAAAGAGTTCTGTATTTGAAGCCAACACCATAGTTGTAAGATACTTAGTACTCTAAGTCAAAGATTTATTGGTAAATCGAACTATTTTGGCTGCCTAGACATCAGGTAAACACCATTTAATACACTAAAACTGTCCTGGATACTCCCTTCCACTTCCACCAGTTTTTTTCATCCCTTTTTCAAAAATTGAAAACTCTATGAGTGTCTTTTTCAGACCACAAGCCAGACTTTAGTGACTTTCTACTTCCCTAAGCACTAAGTGTCTGGTATTTTAAACTTTTATAGAATACATTGTGTTGGACACTGGAATAATACTATTTATTTTCACCTGTGAAAAATTACTTCATTGTACTTGAAACACCTCCTTTGCATTTCTCCATTTGTGCCATTCACTAGTGGAAATAAATTGTATTATACCATTATCTACTGGCTTTTTAAAACTGTGTTAAATATGCACATTTTTGGTATAGCTAATATCATTTATATGTATATATTGTATATACATATGAGTGTATGTGTGTATAGATAGATGGATGTAACCATATTGTACATTTCCATCAGGGCACTTAAGGTTCTGGGGTTTTTTTTGTTTGTTTGTTTTGGTTTTGTTATTTCAGTCCTCAGTTAAGGCAAGAATGCATTTGTTTCTTAAGAAGGAGTACTCTGGCTTGATATTTATGAGAAGGTAGTCACTAGATGCAATCTTTTCTTTTTTAATCCCTTCTTAGCACTTGGGTGAGTGGAAAGTTAGGTAAAATATGGAACTTTAAGTTGCAGTGCAGTAAAATAGTGCCAGAGAGGGAAGCCAGTTAGTGTTTCAGTGAGTTAGTGTTATGACGCAACGAAGGATAAGTGATGTAGAGAATGAACCACGGAAAGTAAGAACACTGATCATGTTTCCTCTGCAGAGATGATAAAAAGAATCAATAAATCACACAATCTTTATATAATTTCCATGTGTGTTTCTTTAGTAGTGATGCCATTGATCCTCTTAACTTTTTTTTACTCCATTAATACTAATAACTGTATTTTGCTGAGGATCAGAGCAGCCAAGAAAGGAATTGCTGCTAAAGGATCTAAGTTTCTCCTAAACTGTAAAATCAACAGGAAATGGCCACTGGGAGGGTATTTGGTATTGGTGGGAGGGGCTTTCTCCCTTAGCTGCCTCTTCTTGGTTCCCTTAGCTGCCTCTTCTTGGTTGCTAAGAGTAAGTTGTTCAAGCAGAAGTTTGGCCCAGTACAGCAACCCTTTCCTTGGAGGTTTATGTGGTCTTGCATTTTGTCCCATGCTCACAATGTGAAATGTCTTATTGTGTATTCAAGTCAGAAAATAATATATTTAAGGTGTATAAATGTGAATCTCCTGCAGTGATGGAAGAAGAGGTTCTCATTCCTTATAAAGAAAAGCTCCTCTCTAAGAGCAGTGTCAAAACTTGGGCTGTCATCTTTGACCTGCTTACCAAATAGACCGTTATTGAAGAAAAACATTCTCTTATTTCATTTTCCCCCATTAAACATGATAGTACCCCCAATCAGGTTGTAGCATTGCCTTTTAAAGGTACTCACTCGTAGTTGTTAAGAACTGGAAATTCCCCATCCTCAGATTCCTTAAAGGATGAAAAAGTATGCTGTACACTTAGCAGACTTGCCTCTTGTATGCAAGGACTACTGATTGAAGTCTGTGTTGCTGTGTCTGGTTATGTTGTCTGCACTTTTACTACAGTAGGTCTACGTCGGAAATGACTTAATTTGTAAAGAAGCAAGTTTTATTAAACACTGTCTAGAAAAAGAAAGTGAAGCTGAGAACTCTTCTTGTGCATTTATATTTTCTACTGAATTCTGGTAGCCCTGTTTAAAGTCATATTGATTAATTTTTTCCTCCTTGTTTATAGTCATATTTCCAAAACTTCACTCATACAAGGGAAGAGAACCCATGTGGCTTAATTGTAGTATTCAGATCATAAGAAATAACATGAGTTAGTATGCACCTTATCTGCATGTTTTGGGTTTTTAAACTTGCACTTCCATCCACCCAAAGGTAGAATATCTTTTAAAGAAAATAAAGGCAGAGAATTAAAACTGGGGAGCCACTTACTGTATCACCATCCCTGTCGGCTATTTCCAAGCAATCTAAACTTGTTGACGTTTTAGATGTGTGTGTGTGTGTGTGTGTGTGTGTGTGGTTGTATTGGTTTTTGTTTTTAAATGTACAAGGGGTTCTTCTTTTAATAGAGAAAAAGGTTAATCCTCACTGAAACATCAGGATGCCCACTGGATATACTCATCTGAACATCTATAGGTAGTTTGTCATGAAAAATGGAGAGAAGATGAGACTTCTGAATGAATGAAAAAGGGTATCTTGATGCCCAAGAATTCTCCCCAAAGTACGGGTAATTCAACCTGCACAGTTATCTTTCACTCATAGTTTTTAGCAGTTGTGAGTGAAAAATCATGTAATTATCTGTAAATATGTAGCTAACAAATTGACCTAGTTTCTGTATTTTTTTGTTTTTGTACTAAAGTTTATAGGTCTGTGCCAGCTAGAGAGGAGTTGCTGTCATTACCAGTTGTGGTCCTAGCATCTAACCCTGAAACCATCTTAGGTGATATTTTTAGAATTAATGCTTAAATGTTGTTAAACAGGGGAAAATGAAGCTTAATCATTGGTCAGGTTTGAAATCTTTTTAAGTGAAATAATTTTATTTAATATAAATGATCACACGTCCTCAATCATGAATGAGGTAGGGAGCCCCCCTCCCCCAGTGGCCATGTTTACAGAAGTGTATTTTGTCTATAAAGTGCAAGTGTTTTAATGTTTATGTAAATTATGCAGGTGATAACATTATGGTTTGGAACTATTTATTGGGCTCTTTAACTGAATTTTCAAATAAAATGAACTTGTGCCACTGCAGGCACATTAATCCCATTTCTGGAACATTTTCCTGTTTCTCGAATTCCATATGTTCCTTTGTCATTACCCCCACTTACCCTCCC